CGAGAGAGTGGGGCTAGATGGGTGGCCGGGGGTGGTGGGGGGACAGTTCAGGGGAAGGCGGTCGCGGGTGGCGGGGGCCGGCGGTTCGACCAGTGGCCCGTTTGGCAGTCTGCTGAGGAGGAGGAAGAAGGGTTATGCGCCGTAGGATCTTCGTCCAATTATAAAAGTCACATGACTTGCATGTCGCCATTCCCTTTTTACTCCCGGCAGTTACTTATGGTGGAGTGAAGCTGTAGGCACTTACTAATGGAGGAGTGAAGCTAGCTGCTCTATAAATATGTGCCAACCACGCAAAAGAAGATGTACTCCGCTTCCATCTTGGTGGAGTAGAGCAGAGCGCGGTATGGCGGCCTCATGGCTCCTCAAACATCCTTGTCCACCAGCAAGGCCATGGACAAGAACAAGGAATGCTACGGGTCTCCGTCTCCAGCAGGTGACCACCATCACTTACCGGTACGTACATACATACTGTATGTCCTTCACTTCAGGCGAATCTGTGATGAATTAAGTGTACGTAGGACTGTATGAATGCATGCAATTCAATAGATCGCTGGATTTTTCGCAGGCGAACCACGTGCACTGGCCGGAGCGCCGCCGTTGCGGTTAAGCACGAGGAGGAGGGCGCCGACGAAGAGTGGCTGGCGTACCTGGACCCGGCGAAGCTAGAGGTATTCGACCAGCTAGAGCCCTGGGCCGAGGCGAACGTGGTGCCGCTCCTGAAGCCTGCAGAGGTGGCGTGGCAGCCGACGGACTTGCTGCCGGACCCGGCGTCGCTGGGCGCCGATGGCTTCCACGCTGCGTGCCGCGACCTCCGGGCGCGCGCGGCCGGCCTGCCAGACGCGCACTTGGTGTGCCTCGTGGGCAACATGGTGACGGAGGAGGCCCTCCCGAGTTACCAGAGCATGGCGAACCGCTTCCAGGCCGTCCACGACCTCACCGGCTCCAGCGGCACCGCCTGGGCGCGCTGGACCCGCGGCTGGTCCGCCGAGGAGAACCGCCACGGCGACGTGCTCAACAGGTACCTCTACCTCTCCGGCCGTGTCGACATGCGGCAGGTCGAGAGGACCATCCACAACCTCATCCGGTCCGGCATGGTCCTCAACGCCGCGCGGAGCCCCTACCACGGCTTCATCTACGTCGCCTTCCAGGAGCGCGCCACCTTCATCTCCCACGGCAACACCGCGCGGCGCGCCAAGGAGCACGGTGACGTGGCGCTCGCCCGCATATGCGGCGCCATCGCCGCCGACGAGAAGCGGCACGAGCTGGCCTACACGCGCATCGTGGCAAAGCTGTTCGAGATCGACCCTGACGGCGCGGTTCGCGCGCTGGCCTACATGATGCGCCGTCGGATCGTCATGCCGGCGTCCCTCATGACCGACGGCCGCGACGATGACCTCTTCGCGCACTACGGAGCTGTGGCGCACCAGGTCGGTATTTACACAGCCTCCGACTACCGTGGCATTCTGGAGCACCTGATAAAGCAGTGGGGAGTGGAGGAGCTGGTGGCCGCCGGACTCTCGGACGAGGGGAGGCGAGCGCGGGACTACGTGTGCGCGCTCCCACAAAACATCCGAAGGTTGGAGGAGAAGGCCCACGAACGTAGCCGCCACAAGGCCCATCCCATGACATCCATCCCATTTAGCTGGATCTTTGATAGGCCCGTCAGCATCACCGTGGCCTAATCAAATTAGTATTACTTACCCTAAACTTTCTCAAAAAAAAAAACTTACCCTAAAAAAATTTAAATAAATTTTACTATGGAGAAGATAAATTTCCATTTTTCTCTATGATATACTATATGTGGGAGGAAATAATAATTATTCATATATACTTTTCAATTGCCAAATGCACCGCCGAAAGTACTATATCATACTGTTTACATTAGAGTCATGAGTTATTGTATTGTACTACTGTATTTTCATAAGTTGTTTGTTCACATTGTGAAAAATGGAAACAGGGAGGTTGAAAGTTGTATTCGTGTATGTATTTTCATAAGTTGGTTTATCACGTCATGCAAAACGTGTTTATCTCCTCTCTTTTTTCGTTAAGATGCGATTAGGGTGAGCAACCGTTTCCAGCATGCACCATCGTTGACAGTGAATTTCTGAGATATTCCCTCCTCTGTCTGCCTCTTTGGCGTGTGAGGTGCAAGGAACCTCGGTGGCTCGGTGCCAACTCGCAGAAAGGTTAGGGTTAGGCTTCTGCAGTGGACCATTGTTGACAGTTGCAGCAATGACAGCCTCTTGAATAAGTTTACCTTGAGCTTTCCTATTTTGATGGTGGCGTCGATGGCTCATGGCGTAGATTCCTGTCGTCCTTTCTAGACGACGAGGCTAGAGTTTTCATGGTATGTCGACGCACCTGGCCGGCAATTTGGAACTTCGGACGCATCCCCTCATGTTGTTCCATCCTAGGGCACCGGCAATATGCCCGCGAGTTATAACGGAAGTCTGACTCTTGAATTTCTAGTATATTCCCTCCTCTGTCTGCCTCTTTGGCATGTGAGGTGCGAGGAACCTCGGTGCCTCGGTGCCAACTCGTAGAGAGGTTAGGGTTAGGCTTCTACAGTGGAGCATTGTTGACGGTTGCAGCGATGACAACCTCTTGAATAAGTTTAGCTTGAGCTTTCCTATTTTGATGGTGGCGTCGATGGCTCCCGGCGTAGATTCCTGTCGTCCTTTCTAGACGATGAGGCTAGAGTTTTCATGGTATGTCGACGCACCTGGCCGACAATTTGGAACTTTAGACGCACCCCTCATGTTGTTCCATCCTATGGCGCCGGCAATATGCCCGCGAGTTATAACGGAAGTCTGACTCTTGAATTTGCGTCTCTTCCAATTATGACGACTTCTTTTCCATGACGTTGGTCCAGCAGGACCGACCTTGATGACTTCCCGTCCGCACCAACTTTAGTTTAGCTCCAATGATGGAGCGGCAATGAACCGGCTCGTTTGGGAGGAAGATTGTGATGTAATTTTATGATCTCCCAGGTTGTAATTTACTTAATAGATCTAAGTGTTTTTATTGGTATGAAAACATCCAGGGTCATATGGCATAAACGACTAGTGAAAAGTAAAAATTTGGCAAAACAACAATAAAATTTTGCTAAGCTTCACCTCGAATGTTAGGCGATTAAGAAAATTCACAAACATAAGAAAAACCATGAACATAAGGATGAAGCATTTGCCTTTGTATTGTCTAGCATTTGTCGCAAGACATGTGGAGGCGTGTCCCCGACGGATCTCGTGTGGGATTCAATTGGTTTTGCTATTTGCCGAATCTTTGTGGATCCAGCCTTTGTCCGTGTTCATTCGTGTGGATCTTTCCACTCTATGCCTCTTTTCATTTGCAGACAATTGTTTGTTCCGGTGGATTGATCATGTGGGGAATCTATCTATTACAAATAAGCTCCTGGTAAAAAAAATCCTTGGTGCCGCCGTTGAAAGAGGGGCAATGACGATGACACGTCATTGGCTTGTATCAGTCGGTAGGTGGTCTATGAATTTAAATATAATTTCAAGTATTTTTTATGTTTCTTGTACGTGAAAAGTCAGATGTTTTTCTTTAAAGAAGAATTATCTGCATTTGTATGGACTGGAAATGATGCTTCACTGATCGCAGAAAGGCATCATTCGAAACAAAACGAAAAGGATTCCATCGCGGACTACAAGAAAAAGTAGGCGGAAAAAAGTGTACACGCACACGATCGCGGCGGACTTGTTAGGCTGGTCATAGTGGGAGTAACATAGGTAGTAACATAGATGCCACATAAGCAAAAATGATGATGTGGCAAGTAGTTAATGAGGAGAGAGGCAAATAGAGTAACATAATATGTTACCATCACATAGCGGTTTCCAATGCATAATGAGTCTACAAAATAATAAATGAAGGCAACTATGTTACCACACCTATGACACTACCCACTATGAAGGTAGTAACATGTTACTCCCCACTATGACCAGCCTTAATCCTCGTGTCCCGGAGACGTGGATTGCTTCAGGAAGGATCGGCCGGCGACGTGGAGGCCGCACGTGGCAGCACCACCAGCCCAGTTCATTCAACACTCCCTTGACCAGCTGCCGCACCGCCACCGCCGCGGACACTCCTCGCCTCCCCAACAAAGCCACGCGTGCGTGCTCACTGCTCAGCTCGCAGACCTTCCCAGCCATGGCGACGCCGACTCCCACTCCCACCTCGCCCGCTTCCATCCCGGCGTCCGTCGGTCGTGGCGGCTTCCTCCTCGCTCGCGCCCGGGTCGCCCCTGGCGCTGGCGGCCGATGGGCGGTCCGCGCCCAGCCGGCGGCGGCCGAGCTGGTGGAGCGGTCGGTGAACACCATCCGGTTCCTGGCCGTGGACGCCGTGGAGAAGGCCAAGTCCGGCCACCCGGGGCTCCCCATGGGGTGCGCACCGCTGGGCCACGTCCTCTTCGACGAGTTCCTCCGCTTCAACCCCGCCAACCACGCCTGGTTCGACCGCGACCGCTTCGTGCTCTCCGCCGGCCACGGCTGCATGCTCCACTACGCGCTGCTCCACCTCGCCGGATACCAAGGCGTCACGGTCAGCTCTCTCACACTTTGATCGATTGCCAGAAGAACTCTGCATTTGTGCTCTGCCAAACTCTGTATGCGTGCTATGTCAAATGTCTGAACTGTCTGAAGTTGTTTCATATCACACGACCCACGTACTGTTTGACTAATTTTTGACCAAAATTTTGCTAGGAGGTTTAATCCTCGCTTCACGAGTAACATAAAAGTTGAAATTTCCGGTGTAAATTCATGACTGAAATCTGAAAAGAGATAACTGTAATCTGCAATCACAGAATTTCAGTATACATGTAGATATTGAATTCTGAAGTAAATTCACAACTCTGTATTTGTGCTATGTCGAATTTTGACGTATGTATGTCTGGATAATACACAATTGTTTGAGCCGTTGGAAAATCATATTTTTAGAATATCTAGTTACTCTTTCTTTTAGTAACTGGGAGCAAATTCTATTGGGTGAGCATGTTAGGAAAATGATGGGTGGTGCACGATGAATTTATCTGAACACTGACAAAGACAAAAAAATCTGAACTCTAAAGTTGTTTGCTGATGCAGATAGATGATCTTAAAGCTTTCCGGCAGTGGGGAAGCAGAACTCCTGGCCATCCAGAAAACTTTGAGACAGATGGTGTTGAAGTCACAACTGGTTTGCCTCTTGAACATCTAGTGAACATTTTAAAGCTTCTACTACAGAAACTAGGCTTGCCTGAACTGTTCTTATGTTTATGTAGGTCCTCTGGGGCAGGGCTTTGCAAACGCAGTTGGACTAGCACTTGCTGAGAAACACCTGGCTGCTCGCTTCAACAAGCCCGATTTAACTGTCGTGGACCATTACACGTAAGTTAATATTTACTTGCTAGACAAGATGTGATTACTAACCTAATGTGCATAGGGACAGGGGTAATTCAATTCTGTCTCTTCATGGTACCATAGGTATGTTATACTTGGGGATGGTTGTCAGATGGAAGGTGTTGCGAATGAGGCCGCCTCCCTTGCTGGCCACTGGGGTCTCGGAAAGTTGATTGCCTTCTATGATGACAATCATATATCAATCGATGGAAGTACGGCTATTGCTTTCACTGAAGATGTGCTTGCCCGATATGAGGCCCTAGGATGGCATACTATCTGGGTGGAGAATGGCAACACTGGCTACGATGACATCCGTGCAGCTATAAAAGAAGCTAAGGAGGTCAAAGATAAGCCAACTCTTATCAAGGTGATCAGATAGGCAGTAATATTGTTCTGTTTCAGTAATATTCATCAGACAAGTGACAACTGGAACTGGTCTTGTATATGTAGGTGACTACTACAATTGGTTATGGATCTCCAAACAAGGCAAGCACACACAGCGTCCATGGGAGCGCTTTAGGTTCCAAAGAAGTAGAGGCAACCAGAAAGAATCTTTCATGGGCTCATGAGCCTTTCCATGTGCCTGATGAGGTGAAAAGGTACAGTGTAGTTCTTGTACAACTCAAGCTGCAGAGCGTCACAGTACTCGCAAACAAATTATTCTGTTTTCAAGAAATTCAAACATTTAGTTGTTCTGGATGCTGTATGCTTCATACAATCTTGAACATGGTTTTTTCAGTTTCATTGTACATACATTCATATGGTAAATACCAATTTTATGGTATAATAGTGTCTGTTTCGAGGAAACAGTCTTGACAAGATAGCATACTACTGTTGGCGAATGCAGATGCAAATTCTCAGTTCTGAACCTTGTTGACAATTATTCTGCAGTGGACACTTAATTTTTGTTTGGAACGGAGGCTCTACATTTCAGTTTTCAAATTATTGCATAGTAATATGGTATTGCATTGAGCTTAGTTTGTTCTGCACTGAAGTTTGATTAAAATAATCATCCCTTACAGGCATTGGGCTCACCATCTTGACGAGGGTGCTTCTCTTGAAGCTGAATGGAATGCAAAGTTTGCAGAATATGAAAAGAAATACCACCAGGAGGCTGTCGAGCTAAATAGCATAATATCAGGGAAGCTTCCGGCTGGGTGGGAAGATGCTCTTCCGGTGAGTTCTCCTCTGAACCTTAAATGTCATGTCTATGTAGTAATATTCATCAAGTTTCTGAATGATTTATAATTCTGACTTTGTTCCCTTGTTTTTTCTGCAGAAATATACCC